GGACGCGTATGCGAGTATCACGCGGTGGTTTATCCAGGTTCGGGGCTCTTTGGAGAGATAATACCCCTATTCCTGCATGTCTGAATATATGCGGTATATCTGGTACAGAGTGCTTCTGGAGTTGTATCTGAGATCAATGCTATGGGCACCTGATCTCGTATATAAGCGGGTGGCCGGATGGACATGCAAGCTCTAGTGGCCGAATGGCATATGGCTTGTGGCCGTGAGCATGTGTGTGCTCATGTGTGAGTATGCAGATGGATGGATGGCTAGCTAGCTTGCACCAGTGTGAGCCTTCCCTGGCGCTCCTTATAAAGGGGAGCCCAGGGGACAAGGGGTGGCCCGCGGAGCCTAACCTATACTATTTGGGGCACAACGATGTGACATGATACGCCCGCTATAGTGCGCTACTATTGCTCAGCAGTGCATAGGTCTCGTCAGCAGTATGGCCGTCTTGTTGGCGGTATGGCCGTCTTGTCGGTGTCGGGTCGGAGCTGTAGTGGTTGACTTCGGGCAGCCGGCTGGTTGGCGTAGTCGGCCCGGGCAGTCGGATAGGGGGCCGTCTGGGGCGGCTTGAGCAGTCGGACTGAGGGGCTTTGCTAGCCCCGATGTCTTGAAATATTGTCTCGCCGTCTTTCGGGGTACATGTGGTCAATTACCTCGACAGTAGCCCCCGAGCCTCCGGGCAACTTGGCGAAGTTGGGTGGAGGTTTTTTAGCGGGTGTTAATGTTGAAGATGTCGATGACGGCCGCAGCCGACGCGGCTTGCTTCCGGCTGGGGCGCGCAAGCGCACCCGCTGGGTGTAGCCTCCGAGCGAGGAGGGGGGTTCCCCATGAAAATGATCATGCAAAAGGCAAAGTTAGTCCACGCATATATATCAAATTTTTGCTTTAGCATTGCAAGTTTTATGCGGAGGGTGCCGACTCGGTTTTGTCCGAGCCCCCTTAATCTTTTTCGTGTTCCCTCCGCTCTTTGGCTTGTGCTCTCGCTTGCCGGACAGTCGCTCTGCGGTCTGTGGCTGAGAGTGGGCCGCGAAGTAGAGTGTACAATACTCAAACTCCGGGAGCAGATTCAACCGAACCGTTTTTTCTCTCGAGACGTTTTTCGCGTGGATGGCCTCCAGCGTTCGCTCTTGCTAGTCAGACAGCCGCTCTGCGGTCTGTGACTAAGAGTGAGCCTTTGGTATCGCGCACGCTACTAAGCCGTCTGTGGGAAAGAACGTCTCAGGCCAAGCGGCTAGCCCCCGGGCCAACTCTGGCTGGCGTCGGGGCGAACAGTGATGCAACTATAATAAAATGCGGAGATGCCTCCCCGAGCATCGCTCGGGGTTATCCGTGTTTGTGCGGTGCAAAATATGCGGGTGAGGAGCTAACATTGATTTTCGTGTAGGCGAGGCGGAGTTTGCCGAAGACAGCCGGCGCGGCTCACGCTTGTGGAGCGCGCCGGCGCACCCGCTGGGTGTAGCCTTCGAGCCTTCGGGTGCTCGAAGGGGGTCTCGGCCGGTCAGGCTCGACCGGCCAGGTGGCGAGGTGTCTTGCAGCGCCCTTTTTTTTTCTTCTGCCGGTTGCTGGGAGCCGGGCAAAACTCTTCTTTTGTCTGCAATCTTCGTGGGGGCGCGCCAGCACACCCATTGGGTGTAGCCCCCGAGATTCGGGCCGACTGCGTTAGCGCACCCGCTGGGTGTAGCCCCCGAGATTCGGACCGACTGCTAAGCAGTCGGGTCGGATCTCCCGACAACTCCTTTGTCTTCCTTGTGGGGGCGCGTCAGCGCACCCGCTGGGTGTAGCCCCCGAGATTCATGCCGACTGCTGAGCAGTCAGGCCGGATCTCCCGACAACTACTTTGTCTTCTTCCTCGCGGGGGCGTGTCAGCGCACCCGTTGGGTGTAGCCCCCGAGCCTCTGAGCGCTCGAGGAGGGTCCAGCCGGTTGGGCTTGACCGGCCAGGAGGCGAGCGAGACGCGGCCGAGCCGGCGCTCTTGTCAGTCAGACGTTGAAGCGGGCAGGCAGGCCGGGTCGCGTCTAGCCGTCCGAGTGGCGAAGCAGGCGGACGGACAGACGGACGTTTTTTTTTTCCTTTTCTTCTCTTTGTGCCAGCCGACCTCTTTCTCTTTTTTAGCACCCGACCAGACGAGCAGCCGGCCCACCTTTTCCAGCCGGCCACTAGGCAATCGGCCTCTTCTTTTTCTTCTCTTTTTTTAGCACCCGGCTGTGGGCACTCAACCACTTCTTTTCCAGCCGACTTGATGGGAGCAGCCGGCCCGCACCCCCACTTTTTTTTTACAGCCGACGCCGTTTCTCTTTTTTCAACCGTCTGTTGACTTTTCTCAAACAGTCGGCTGGGGCGTGACTCGGCGGGGGCGCGAGGCCGACTAGTGATGAGGCGGCCAGGCGGGGCAGAGCGTCGTGGACGCGTGTGGCCAAGCCGGCGGTGGGGAGCCGCAGTCGGCGTAGCGGGCAATGCGGCAGCGTGGTTGGGTGGAGACGGGCGCGCGCGGCCGAGCCGGCCCGTGAAGGCGTCGGGGCACCGTAGCCGGCGCAGCGGGAGTGGAGCAGGCGGCCACGGGCGTGGGGGAGCCGGCAACGGGCGGAGCCGGGCCCGGGGCAGCCGGAGACGGGCAGAGGAGCAGCCGGCGCGGGGGAGGCTGGTGGGCGAGCGCGGGGCCGGCTGGCGGCGAGTCGGCAGTGAGGACGCGGTAGCGGGACGGGCGCAGGTCGGAGCCGCGTGTGCTCATGGCCGAGCCGGCGCGGGGAGGCGGTGGGGAGCCGCAGCCGACGCAGCGGGCGACGCGACAGCGTGGTCGGGGGAGCCGGTGACGGGCGGAGCCGGCCCAGGGCAGTCGGCGATGGGCGGAGGAGCAGCCGGCGCGGGGGAGGCCGGCGTGTGGGAGGTCAGCTCCCGGCGATCCGGCGGACAGGCGCGGTGATGTAGGGTAGAGACCCTAATCACCCGATCTTTCACGAAAGGAGTGGATCCGGGGGAAGACACGAAGAACACGGGGAGGAACGGAGAGAAAAACACAAGAGAAATCACTAAACCGACACGAATAAGTCACACATGGGCTAGCTCTTCGAGTACATAGGTAGAGGTACACGAATCCACGGACAACTAAGGACGATACACGGTAACCGGTTCTCCGTGAGGAGGTCTTGAATTCACAAGGGGATCTTCCCGTAAAGGGGGCTTGAATCCGCTTGGGGGATCTTCTCCGGTGGAGGCTCGAATCTCCGAGAAGGTAACCAAGTGGATGAGCAAAGCTCTCTCACAAACATGAGCTAAACATTTGCTAACCCTAGAAAGGAGGTAGGAGAGGTCTATTATAGTATAAGTGCAAATGGGGGCGAAAGTAGGGGTACATGGGCCTCGGGCCCGAAGCTGGACGCAGCCAGGTTCCGGACGTCCGCTGGTGGCCGGTCGTCCGGTGTCTCAGGAGCGGCCGGTCGTCCGGTGTCCTCCGGACGTCCGCTGGTTCGGCTCTGTGATGGGGGTGCCGGACGTCCGGAAACGTCGGGCTTCCGCTGATGTTGGTTCGGATGCAGGTGCGCCGGTCGTCTGGTCCGGACAGGACGTCCGCTCGTTTGCTTCGGGTGCAAGGGCACCGGTCGTCCGGTCTGGACCGGATGTCCGCTTGTCGGGGCTCGGCTAATGCTTCAGGCGCCGGACGTCTGGTCCCGGCTGGTCGTCTGGTGGCTGGGACTTTTCCTTCAGCCCTCCTTCTCCGTCTTCTCGTCCATCTTCCTCTTCTTCTTGTCCTTACTCCTTAGCTTCTCCATTGTACCTGAGTATGCACAAAGTATCCATATGAGGTAGTAGCCATGCTTCATGTGCATCGAAGTGGAATTGTGAGAGGAGAGATGTCACCTCGGTTTCAAGAGGTCTTGCACGTGATCGAGTCATGGGTCCACTAGGCACTTGATGAGACGATGGTAGGTCCATGGGGATGACCTTGGGATGCTCCGCATCATCTCCCCTCCCTTGGGGAAGATCCGACCTCGGATCGAAATCCTCATCACCATGGTACGGGGAGAGATCTTTGACGTTGAAGATGTCGCTCACGGAGTACTTGTCACGTGGGATGTCGATCTTGTATGCGTTGTTGTTGTAGCGGGCAAGCACCTTGAATGGTCCATCGGCTCGTGGTTGTAGCTTGGACTTGTGTTTGTTGGGGAAACGTTCCTTGCGAAGGTGTAGCCACACAAGATCTCCAATGTTGAATATCATGTGATTCTTGTTGATGTTGAGCTTGGTCGCGAGTCGTTGTACTTGGAGCTCAATGGTGTGCCTTGTATCTTCATGCATCTTCTTGAGGTGGTTGGCTCGGTCACTCGCGTCCATGTTTGTGCGCTCGTGGAGTGGTAGAGGTAGGATGTCCAATGGGGACAACGGGTTGAAACCGTAGACAACCTCGAAGGGGGATTTGCCGGTAGTAGAATGTCTTGCGCGGTTGTAGGCGTACTCGGCGATGGGTAAGCACTCCTCCTACTCCTTGA